ATAAAAAGAGGTTTTAAAAAGAGGGAGAGATTTTTATTTCATTTGGCTCGGTCAAAATTTTACACTATATTTTATATATTTAAGAGTAAATTTTTATAACCAACTTTTATTATTGTTTTTGATCGATGGTGTCATATTTATATTGAATTGTATTTCACTGTCATTAATCAGTTTATGATATATTTGCATAATTCATTTAAAGAGATTTCATTTTTGAGATTAATTAATTAATCTGTTTTTTTGTTTACATTCTTTATTATTACTAAAATTTTAAGCCTTTTATAATTCTAAATATATTGTTATTGTAAAGTATAACGTTTTTACTTTATATAAAATAAACATATCAATATTTGTTATATTTCCAGATGGAGATGATACCAGGGAAAAAACATGGTTCAAAACTATTTATGTACGACAACTATATGTACCATGCGGATTATAGAAACCCAAATATCTTTTTTTGTTGCAAAAGAAAATCAAAGAAATGCTACGGACGATTAAGAAAAGAAGGAAATTCATATGTATTGCAATGTCAACACAATCATGTGGAGCAGCCTGATAGTATTCAAATTGCAAAAATGAGACAAGATATGATTAAATTAATTCAAGAGACGAAATGTACGAAATCGTCGAAAGAAATATTCGACACGGTCTGCAGCCGCTGGGCAGACCGTGTCGATACAACAAAATTTAAAGAATACGAACGAATAAAATCAGCTCTCTATTATCAGCACCGTCGCCGGCGACAAGCTTATCTGAACGCTGTAGGATCCAGCCAAGAAAAGCCGTCCAAAAAAAGAACAGGGGCGAAGCAGATTGGCAAGGTAATAGAGATCGATTCCGACGCGAAAAAATTGAAATACAACACCAGAAGACGCGCGAAGGAGAGCCATGAGAAGAATGCGAGATCACAGTCGGACATTGATTTGAAGGCGATAAATCAAAGTAGCTCGTTGTCGAGCACAGCGTACGATCAGGAGCGTCGAACTGCGACTACATCTACGTCGTGTCCGGGTGGACCGAGCACATCTGCAATCAACGAGGAAGCCACCGCGAAGCCACCGAAAAGATCGCGCAAGTTTGTGAAGACGATACGCGCGAAAAAGATCATCAAACGCAAAGAGCGTATCGAAGATCGGAGGAGCGTCGACTCGCCAGTACCGAAAGACGATGAGCGGTTTGATCGATTGAAAGCTGTGAGACGTGACCTGATAATCCACGAAGGTCAACAGCCAATTTGTGATGTGGCTTCCACCAGTGCATCACAAAGCGTAATCGTGGCCGATAACGACGAAAACGTTCCCGGGATCGATCGTCAAAGACAAAGAATACATATTTTTCCACAGTCCAGCAGCGACGAAGACACTACAACACAAAACCTTCCTGATTTCTTTAGAAGGACCCACGACGAATTGCAGTCCATCCAGAAGACGAAGAGGAACAACTCGACGCCGAAAAGGCTTTAGACGGTCATACAGCGGCGAATTCTCAATTCTATCCGTCCAAACGCCATAAGGACGAGTCGGCGCAAAGTT